AAAAGAGTTACAAAAAACTGTTACAAAAGCAAAGAAAAGCAAGTGAGAATGGAATATTTAAGAAATAGAAAACGAGTCGCGTGCGTTTATGGTGTGATAATGCACGCGGGGAATGTTGGGAGAATACGAGAGAAGCGTGTAAAGCACGAGGCGTAGCCGAGTGTTTTACACGCTTCTCGAGTATTCTCCCAACATTCCCCAAGTGCATTATCACACCATAAACGCACAAGACGAGTTTTTCTATTTCTTTTATAATATAAGTAGAAAATATTACATAGTAAACAATTTTACTCAAAAGATCGACGTTGAAATTCTCCTAACATGTACTCAGTGAAGTCACGCGCATGCTTTTACTGTCGCTTGAATTTTTAAGCGAGAGAAGGAGAAAAATTGCCAAAACAATATACAAACTTTTGATGCTATAAAGCCGGAAAAATTGTTTAAAATAGTGGAAATAAAAAAGCAGTGACACACAGACTAATTTTCCAAAGTTTTTCAGCATCTGGGCTGCTGGATTTGCCATGAAAGACGGTAAATCGTAGGTTTCGTTGTGTTTATTTACTCAGTTTTAATTTTCGAAATTATTGTATTTTTTGTCTTTTGCCGAAAATATATCTAGTAGTTATTATCAGAAGAATTGAAGGTACTTTCTAAATCACTTATATTCAGTTTTTGTTGCCTTTTTGTATGTATTTGGTCTTCCAGCTGTATCTTTTTCAAGTTTTTTTCTCGACTATTTTGTACGCATTTTTACCCAAAACTTGTCGAGACAACAACAAATTCGACGAATGCCCAGCCGGTTAATTTTATAAGTAGAATTATAGAAAATTGCTTTGTTCCTTTGGTCTATTCCTTCTTGCTTTCTTGCGACGTCGGCGAAGACATTCATTAGCCGCCAATAGAATGATCTGGACGAAACGTTGGATTTTAAGACGCCGAATGAAAGGAGCATGTGAAAATATTGTTCGCGAACTGAATATTGAGGACCCCAAAAAATTGAGGCAATATCACAGACTTGACAGAGTATCATTTGAGGAAATTTTGACTCTAGTTTCCCCACTCATTGAAAGAAAGGACACGCACTTGCGTTGCTCTTTAGAGCCACGAGAACGACTATCTGTTACATTACGCTTTTTGGCAACAGGTATGTCCTTACATCCACAATATATATAATTAACTAATTTTTGTATCATTACTATACCATTTCATTGACTTTATTAGGAGAAACGTTCAGAAGTCTATCCTTTCAATATTGAATAGGCGAAAGGACAATTTCTGGGATTGTTGAAGAAACTTGCAAAGCATTGAATTTAGTAATGAAAGACAACTATTTGAAGGTTTTTATTAAATACAACATTTTAAATTTTATTTTAATTCTTTTTCTTAACCTAACTTTATAATATGATATATATAGAACTGAAATAAAACTTTTGTTCCCTTTGTTCACTCTATCAGACTTATCTTAGTTTAATTTTGAGCTGGGCATCCACATGTAGAGTTGCATATAGCAGGTTCATTTCGAAAAGGTGAATTCTGTTGAGGATATATGGATGACTGCGGACTTGATGATGTCATTGGTGGTATCGGCCGGAAAAAACTTTGTGGCTGATTCATCGTCATTGCTGGTTGGATTTCGTAGACTAATAAGCCAGCTTGAGCTTGAAAAATAATATTGTTTATTTTGTTCTGTGCCAAATGACATGTCCTACTATCTAACTCTGACAATGCTTTGGTCACATAATTGCCAAAAGCATCTAATATGTTATTACTAGCTTGCTTATCAGATGTTTTCCTCTTGTGCTTTTCAGCAATTGATTGGGACAGATTTCGTATTAATTTGTATTCTTGTTCTGCTTGTCTCTTTCGCAAAGTGCTTGGCCTTTTCTTTAGTGGTTCATTTGTTGACCTTGTCACTCCCATTTCTTCTTCTCCTTCAATTTCGATTAACGGGCTTGTTGGATCAGATATAGATTGATCATAGACTTGGTTATCATCTACAAAACCATCCTCACTAATCTCGGTCAAACTTACATCTATTGCTGGGGAACCACAGGATTCCTAAATAAAAATGTATTTATTTTTTAGACTCCAACTAAAAAAGAAGAATGGTTACACATTGCATCTGAATTCAACAGCAAGTGGAACTACCCATGTTGTCTAGGAGCAATAGATGGTAAACACATTGTTATTCAACAACCTGGGGACACTGGCTCTGAATTCTTCAATTACAAGCACTTCTTCAGTGTTATTCTATTGGCTTTGGTTGATGCAAACTACAAATTCATATATGTAGACGTTGGAGCAGCTGGACGTTCTGGGGATGCTGGAGTATTTGGGGATTCAGCATTGAAAAAGGCCTTAACATCCAATTCCTTAGATCTGCCACCATCAACTAGCATCAGAGGAATATCAACAAAAATATACCATCATATTGTTGGAGACGACGCCTTTGCCTTGACGACAAATATGATGAAACCTTTCCCTCATCGGAATTTGCAAAAAAAGACAACGAATATTTAATTATAGGTTGTCACACGCTCGTAGGGTTGTTGAAAATGCATTCAGAATTTTCGCACACAGATGGAGAGTGTTTTTATCAAGTATTAAACTCTCTCCAGACAAAGTTACTGATATTATTTTAGCTGCTTGTTGTCTACATAATTATATGGTTGACAAAAACAAAGCAACTTATACATCTGGTGTAGATCGTGACAATGCAGATCATACAATCGCAGCAGGAACTTGGAGAAATGACCCGATTTTAGTGGGTTTACAACCATCCACTCTACATAATGCACCAAGAAATGCAAAATCCCAACGGGAACTCTTAACTGAATACTTTAACAGCCATGGATCTGTTCCATGGCAAGACAGTATGGTTGGTTTGTAAAATTATACTTATGTAACAAGTACTATAAAATTCTTATGTTAAATAAACATGGATATTATTCCTACTCTTTAAAATTGGGGATGTTTGTGTAATTATAAACCTAGGGATATACTTACAGCTTCTAGATTGTTGACAGAAGCCCTTGTGGCCACATGAGGGGCTAAAAATTGAAATTTCTCCAACAACCATACAGTTCTTTGTGTTGGATTTTTTCTGGCACTTCCACTAGCAGCTGGTTTCTTTGCTTTTACATAACGGTTTCGCAGGTTTGTTAATTTTGCTTTTACCCACTCAGCTGGAAAATTATACATAAAATCATATTCAGTTTACAGAATTACGAGAGAGCCATATTATTTATTTAATATATATGGATCAGAGGATTACAAATATACGATTCTTTTTCTGGATAAGAAATACACATGAGAAATGAAAATAAGTACATGAATAGTGATATTTGCAAATATATATATATCTTATATATAATTTTCGATCACCTCAAAAATTCTGCTACAGGCTGTTTCATCCGTATAGATTCCTATAGATTCCTATACGGATGAAACAGCCTGTAGCAGACTTTTTGAGGTAAGCGAAAATGATATTTTTGCTCTGACTATATGTTATCGAGCACTCTTTGCGTTTCGTAAACCACATTATTTACGAATATATCTTATATATATATATAGCTTAAGTTTTTGGTTTACGAAACACAAACAGTGCTCAATACCATATAGATAGAGCGTAATATAGTTTTCCGTTTTGACTCCAACTATTAAAATATAAAATGTGAACAGTGAACTTGTAAATAAAATAAACATACCAGTTTTTCGGCTATTTCTTGCATCGACTTATCACGCAAATCTCTATTTTTAAAATTGTGACTCCTCACGTCATAAAGGCAAGGGTAATCCGGCCAAATATCGGCGATTTTGTCTTCCAACAATGCTTTGGACACCACAACGCTACTTGTCGCCATTTTGGTTAATTGAAAGATTCATGTAGCACACATGCATATTGGCATCATATTGTAAGCTGTTTGCTTTTCCTGCCCGCACACTTAAAGATAATCGACACTTGTGTCAAAAATTATTCAACATGTTGAACATTCAGTGCTAATGGCAGGCATGCCGGAAATCTCTCAAAACGTCCCCGCACACCTGAGAAACTTGCTTACGCCAACAGTCACGCATGACGCTCAGCTCAGCTGATAGCTCTAGTGTGCGGCGGGCTTAAGGCATCCGAGTCTGAGGGTACATTTCTATCAAATTCTTCAGATCTTTGACAGACATTGGTCATTTTTATGATCATCCGAAATTCCAGTCTCTGCACAGTCTGCAGACTCTTGTCGGTTACTTGGATTTTGAGTTACGCAGGCATTAGTTTCTTTGGCTTCGCGTGTTCTCTTAGCTGCAGCCTCGAATGGGTTTTGTGGAGCACCGACAAATTCATAGCGTATGTGCTTACAGCTGTTGAGCATGTCTTGATGAAAACGCAAGTTGTGCTTGCTTCTATGATCAAAATCCATTTCAACACTGGGCGTACATACTGTACATTTTATTTTATATCTTTCTAATTTCTTTTTGAGGCATTTTACCATGCGATATCACCGAAAACCTTCTGTGCGTTCCCACTAAAATGTTTATTGTAAAATTTAATTATAATAAAATTAATTGAAAAAATAGAGGCAGATGCGCGGCCAGGATGGAACATAATAATAAAATAGACGTTCTCTGACCAAAAATTTTTGGTCAGAGAACGTCTTTTATTATTGTAATAATAAAAATAATATTGCACTACTCACAACTGCAGCAGATCGATCATAATAACAGCACATCGACTTTCATTTTATGAACACGGAACACTTGCAATCATGTTTCAATATATTTTGTAGTAGACAAACTTTACATTACACTCTCTTAACTAATCAGAATCAAGAAATTCCCATGTATATTAATTTATTATTCGGAATTATGCTATATAATTATATTTTACTTACCTTCTCATTAAAATAACAATACGACGAGTCGATTTGTATTGCCAGATACTTCGTATAACCGATAACATAGTGTTTACCGATGGTGATCCGAACTATCCAGATCGTAAGCCAATGGCATGGTGGTTGGCATACGCTCGGATTGTCCCATCATCGCCGTCGGTAAAGAGACTAAAACACCATGCATGATTATAGTTATATGAAGTATGCAACAATGCAAATCTTATTAATATCATATAAATACTGTCATATAATATTTTTTATTGTATTTTTTATGGAAAACTTACTATATCGTGGAAAAATTATGGAAAACTTACTATATCGTGGGACAATTCCATTTTGCCTTCATATTGTGCCCTGAAGACTAGTAAGTACGTTTCTGTATGTTGGCTGCGTTAAAATTTCTTGTGAGCTCCTGTCGACATGTTTTTCTTCGAATTTTGTATTAAACTCTATTACAGTTAGAAGATGTATTTCTGATACATTTCTAATACAAATGACTTGCATCATTAGAAAGCTAACAAAAAACTACATATAAGACATTTAAATGGTTAGTTGGGATTTTCGAGTGGTTTTCAAGTTATTGCTGTTTTAAATGTGATCCAAAATCTTGCAAAATTCCTGGGTACTAGTTTGAAAACACACATTCCACAGCTCATAACTAAAGAAGAACTTGAAAATTCCGGGTAACCGTTTAAATGTCTTATATGTAGTTTTTTGCAAGCTTTCAAATTATGTAACTCATTTGTATTAGAAATGTATCAGAAATTTCACATTTTTTAACTGCAATAGAGTTTAATACAAAATTCGAAGAAAAACATGTCGGCAGGAGCCCACAAGAAATTTTAACACGGCCAACATACAGAAACATACTTATTAGCCTTCAGGGCACAATATGAAGGCAAAATGGAATTGTCCCACGATATAGTAAGTTTTTTCCTTCTATCTGCCCAACTATCAGGCGGAGCTGACAGAACATTATATAGTGTCATTATCATTGCATGACTGCACCAATGGCATGTAAATTGATGAAAATAATTTATGTTCATTTGTTGATCTTTAGTCCAACACTGAGTGCAGAGATTCAAGGAAGAGCCTCTTGTGTGTATTTTTCACTCTCTTCTCTATGATCTTAGCATTCTCCATAGAAGTCTCGTGTCCTGTAGTTTCTGCATGATCTTTAATTGCAGACTTTATTTCCGGTTGTACACCTGGCTTGTGCTCAGCCCACTGTGACTTCCACAATCTTTTACTCTCACCAATATAAGTGAAAGGACAATCTGGGCACTCAAACTTATAGACAATACCCTTTGTTTCAGAGTCTGCTTGTTTGTCTTTCGCTTTTCCAAATATGTCACCCAGACTTGGCATAGGCTTGTATACTGTTCATACACCGGTGCTACATAATACTTGTTTTGTTCGGACACGCCTCTTATGTAGGGAATGCATGTAAAACCTAAGGGGTTGTTGTTTAGTCCATTAGGTGTTTCAGTGGGTGAGAGGTATGTTGAATAAATTTACTTGAGTAACTGTTGAGTGCTAGATCTTTCATAACACGCTCTGGTTCATTCTTTTGGTTTGAAATTGTCGAGGGAATGTTTTTAGCACGATCAAGTAGGCTTCTAACAACAGCTTGTTTACACTGCGATGCTAATTAATCATAATCTGTCAAACACCATTGTCCGGTTGTGTGGAACATATTTACATATTGGCACCACATTTAAGCTCTCTATAGCATGAGAATTTAATGCTATAATCTCAAAATAACTACTTGACTGCGTATCCGCGTATCCACTAAATATAGAGCTACCTATAGCATGAGAATTTGATCTAATGCTAATCTAACTGTATGCCTCGTTCTCAAAATCTGACTTGACTGCATGTCTGCATATCCACTAGAATATAGAGCTACCTTTAACACTATGACAATTTAATCTATTAACGCTAAGTCACAGGATTTTAATCTATTATAGATGTATTAATGCATCGTATCCATGTTTGAAAAGCATAGCTTAAAAGTGGACGGGTATTCTGCAATCACTCCAGAAGATATTGCAATGTTTTTTTTTTCAAAATTATGGAATCGAAAACAATGAAACTTATAAAGAATTACAGAAGCAACGAAAAGAGTTACAAAAAACTGTTACAAAAGCAAAGAAAAGCAAGTGAGAATGGAATATTTAAGAAATAGAAAACGAGTCGCGTGCGTTTATGGTGTGATAATGCACGCGGGGAATGTTGGGAGAATACGAGAGAAGCGTGTAAAGCACGAGGCGTAGCCGAGTGTTTTACACGCTTCTCGAGTATTCTCCCAACATTCCCCAAGTGCATTATCACACCATAAACGCACAAGACGAGTTTTTCTATTTCTTTTATAATATAAGTAGAAAATATTACATAGTAAACAATTTTACTCAAAAGATCGACGTTGAAATTCTCCTAACATGTACTCAGTGAAGTCACGCGCATGCTTTTACTGTCGCTTGAATTTTTAAGCGAGAGAAGGAGAAAAATTGCCAAAACAATATACAAACTTTTGATGCTATAAAGCCGGAAAAATTGTTTAAAATAGTGGAAATAAAAAAGCAGTGACACACAGACTAATTTTCCAAAGTTTTTCAGCATCTGGGCTGCTGGATTTGCCATGAAAGACGGTAAATCGTAGGTTTCGTTGTGTTTATTTACTCAGTTTTAATTTTCGAAATTATTGTATTTTTTGTCTTTTGCCGAAAATATATCTAGTAGTTATTATCAGAAGAATTGAAGGTACTTTCTAAATCACTTATATTCAGTTTTTGTTGCCTTTTTGTATGTATTTGGTCTTCCAGCTGTATCTTTTTCAAGTTTTTTTCTCGACTATTTTGTACGCATTTTTACCCAAAACTTGTCGAGACAACAACAAATTCGACGAATGCCGAGCCGGTTAATTTTATAAGTAGAATTATAGAAAATTGCTTTGTTCCTTTGGTCTATTCCTTCTTGCTTTCTGGTAAATTTTGTATTTTAAAAGCTCTATAATTTTGTGTATAATTTTGGCTAAAAAGCAGTGATGAAGAGGGGAAAAAACAGAGAAAGAGCAAAGCAGTGCCATAGATCACAGTGCTAAACGGAAGCATGGGTCAGTTATTATGGGCCCAAATCAAATGAAATTTTGCATACTGATTGTACATGATGAGATGCATTGAAACCACTTCTAATTTTGTTGCCAAGGTAACAATGTCGTTCCCAGGCCCCTTGCACCAATTTTATAAAACAGCTTTATTCATGGTACTTATAAGAATAAAATCATATCAGAAGTATGTGTACCATACCTATGCATGCCAAAAGTTTACTTGCATGATAATAATTCGAAAATGACATGCACATAGATAAATGCAGTGTAAGGGGCCTAGGAACGATTGTGTTGCCTTGACAACAAAATTAGAAGTATTTTCCCATGCGTCTCATCATGTACTATCTGTAATGCTTCAGTTTACTATTCAATAAACACACTTACCCAACTAATGACGTCACACGTTGTGCTGAATCAGCAATTTATATTTTGCACATTTTTGCATACAACTTCGGAACCAGATGAGATAGAATAGAGCATTAAACAGCTAATCGGCTTATTTTTTCATGCTCTTTCAGATGAAGCAATAACATTTTTTGTTGCTCGTACCCTTTAAGTCTAAGAATTGATAAAAATCTTGATCGAAAGTTCATGAATGATATTTATCCAATAAAGGCAATATCTGAAATATATTGTTAGGTTATATATAAGTGAACTTTTAATAACTTTAATTCCGCGATAAAAAAGCATTTGCTTTAATATGCTTTAATCCGCGATAAACTGAAAAGCTTTAAAAGCATTTGCTTTAATATGTAACATGATGGTAATATTTTAATTTTGGGATAGGTAATAGGACCTCTACATGCGTCTTGGACCTGTGGTGTACTTAAAATCATTATTTATCTAATGGATTACTGTTATATTCAACGGGGTCTTGAAAGTAGACCATGCCGTGAAACATTGTATAAAAGGTGCACGCGTTGTTTTGTGTCTCTTTTTGTCATTCCATTGTAGAAATATTGTGATTGAAGTTAGCATGTGCTGTATGTAAAGTTATTACTTGGTAATTGATAGGTGTAATTTGATGATGCACATGAATTTATCGATATCACAGGGTCGGATTTGACCATACTGCGATGTTGTAAATTAGGAATTGGTAACATGACTTGTGATTTTGCGCTGTGTAATTTTCCTGTATCTCATTTGAGTAAAAGGTTTTCTTAAATATATCTTCACAGGGTCTGGAAAGTAGACCATGCAGTGAGATATTGTAAGCTTAATCCTTGTTGTTAACTGTGTATTCCATAATCTGTCCGTCACATGTGGTTAAGTCTATGTGAGGATTGTAGGTTTATCCCTTAGTATTGAAGTATGGATGCAGTTAGATTATGTACATACTCACAGGGTCTTGAAAGCAAACCATGGCGTGAGATATGCATGTCATGAGTCCTATGGTTTGTGTCATGTATCTAACTATTGATAGGTAGAATAAGTAGTTGTTGTACAATCTACAAAAATGCGGTTTGTAGAATCTGGCAGAACATTTAATTATGCCACAAGGGTAAACTTTATTTAAAATTGGTGTCTTAGACTAATCATCCCAGATGTTTTGTAAAATGGCGCCCAGGGTCTGGCAAACATTTTTATGACTGCACAGTATGGCAGTCATTACGTAGTATGTACTATATAGGTTAATACCTTTAAGTAATATATATATATATAATAGGGACTGATTGCCCAAAGCAGTTCGAAGCAGTCCGAGCCAGTTCCGCGTTTCAACGTGGTGTGAATAGGTGATATATTCGGTCAATATCATTAAAATGACTGTAGAGAAAGGCGAACATGGGTCGAACGGCATGCGGAACGGCCCTGGACAAACTATCCCATTGGTTCCACAAAATTACATTAAGGAGATAAGTGCATCGATGGTATTGGAGAGATGTTGTGATTTTTAATGAAACATTGAATAATGATGTGATTGTGTATTGGGGCTATAGCAAACTTCACAGAGTCTCGGGTTGACCATGCTTGTGAAGTATGTTAGCGGATGGTATATCATATGGAAGATACAGTATATATAGTTGTGTTAATTGTACTTTTTCATTTGTTTGGCCCTCATATACTGTATCTTCCATATGATATACCATCCGCTAACATACGCGAAGGATCTGATTGAAATGCTAACGTCAAACAATAGAAGAGTTTGAACGAATGGACCAGTTACTGTAATATTTTCAAAGTAGGTCGACGTTTTTTTATATAGAATATTTTGTCAACCAGAGAATTAAACTTGTTTACGCACTTCTCCAAATTATGTTTCTCGAAGTAGATCTTTAAGCCTGTTTTCCACTAGGCGAATTTGTTCGTGCGAACCGAAGTGAACAAATAAAAAGTTGGATAGCTTCCTACTTTTTCGTAGCGATTTTTTTCGCTGTGATTTTTTTCTCTGACCAATCATATATTGTTGTATTTAGTTTTCGCTCCACGATCGCGCGAACAAATTCGCCTAATGGAAAATGGGCTTTATTCCCACAGACTTTCCAATCATGGTGTTCTCCAATTGATGAACTTTATACTCAGCAACACAGCCATAAATTTCGGTCAGATGTGACAGTTGCGCACCCACCATTACGTAAAATAGACGGTAATTTTGAGGTAAAGGTTAAAAAGGGTTTGTTAGCAATTTGGAATTTAGAAGTTTGAGGGCTTGCTTCCTCGTCCCCGACCAGAAAAAGTTAATTTCAACTACTAATGTTAGGCCAGGATCAATGAAACGTCGAACTTTTAATGCGCTGAACCTAATGTTAATGAGCTAAGTTCGTTGTTTCACTTCATTTGCATTAGGTTCGGCGCATGAAAAGTTTGATGTTTGACCCTGGTAATCATACAATATATTGTCTAGTAATATGGAAAAGATTCTTACAATTTACGTGCATGTATCACCCGATACATCCCTTATTAAAGTTATGTAGGTTCTTATACCCGGTCTCTCCAACTATATATCTTATAATTACCTTCCATTCAGACTTCCATCTTCTTCCTCCTCACAATCTTCATTACGTCCCGCAGCTACATTTTCTTCGATTTTGCTGCATACCAAAGACTGGAATATTTGTAATACCTCCAAAGCAGCTGGACGTTTTATTGGATCGACTACTGTGCAATTTCTATGTACTTTCGCAATGGGGAGCCAGGTTGTTTCTTGAAGTGTCTTATACTTATTCGATCCACTAGACTGTTTCCCCAGTCGTAAGAACTCTTCCACTTGCTCTATTGCACTTGCGTCTCTCACAAGATCTAACTGAAATGGTTGTTTCAAATCCGGGTTTACTAGGTTGAACATTACCATACCAAGTGCCCATACATCAACTTTCTTGAGGTCGTCCAGACTGGCTGATTTCAAGCAGCAGGATTTCACCAAGATTTCCGGAGCCATATACACAGGTGTTCCTCTGGCGATTTATTTAAGTACGAAAAAAGAATAGCTAAATTCACGCAGAAACTTTATATAAGAAACTCAGTAAAATATACAACAACGGTAACTCCGAATAAAGACAACATTTTTTATTTAATGATTCAACCTGATGTTGAATAAAAAATGTCTTTATTTGGAGTTACGTACAGTTGCTTATTTTATGAAAATGCTCAGTGGGTTCAGCAATTATTGGAGTCGAAATCAACTAACATAATAGTGTTCTACTTCGCAGCAATTACACTTCTTGACGACTACTTCGTGCCGGTTTCCCGCCCCAGTTATTTTAGGTTGACTGGTATTTCGACTATGAGGAAAAGTGGATTACCCGAGATCCTGTTTACAAGAGCAAAATATTCCAGATTTGTCAGGAAACCAAAATGTTTTAGAACAGATTCATGTTGCCGTTTACAGAGACAAATCCAATAGGAAATCATCTTGGCTTTGAGTCGTATCTGGAAACTTTGAATCCGGAAAAAATGTACAAACTTTGTATCCGAAAATATTGTATCCGAGATAATTTACTATGTAAACGGATGCAAACAGAAATTTCAATGAACCCGTAACCTTTTCAGTAATGTAACTGGACGAATCCAAATTCTTTTCGGTTACTGTTGTAGTGCAAATGCCTCATAACTCAAAAAAACTTGAAAAACAACGAATACAGATACTTTCATGAATCCGGAAACTTTTGCTCTACTCTAGTCTAATAAATGAGGTCTGATGCTCCGCAATAGACCTTCCGGTAATTACATCATAACTACACTGTTTTCAACTTGGAACCATCTTAATTAAATAGAATGGATTTCATTTCCTTTTTGTTGCGGGTTATGGGCAGAGAAGCAGAATATCCTTCTTTGACACATCAAAAAAAGGACTTTGACCAATAAATGTAGAAATCAGCTTTAACACGAAAACGAGGCTGGGTCAGCCTCGTTTTCGTGTTAAAGCTTATTTCCACGTTTAATGGTCAAAATCCAAAATCTTTTTTTATGCATGTGTTGAAGAAGAATGTTCTGCTTCTATGCCCATAGCCCGTAAGAAAAAATTTGAAATCCATTCCATTTAAGGTGGTCCTATGTTGAAAACAGTGTAGTTGTGACGTAATTGCTGGAAAGGTCTATTCATCGCAAGTTGCCGAAAAAAACCATTTTGTTCCATTTGACAAAAAGGGAAAAGCCTGGGAACGAGGTTACCATTTTGGTCAAATTTTGGAGCGAAATTGTGGTCCTAGTCCGCGTTTTACTAATAGAGTCCAGTCCGCGTTTTACTAATAGAGTCCAGTCCGCGTTTTACTATATGCCCCAGTGCGGCGCCGGATGACACAAGGGAATGTCAAGGAAAAAACTATGTACAAGACTAGGCGGCTCGCTTTTAAAAGTTCAAAACTGGTTTCCTGGATAGTTCTAGTCCTAAGTATTTTACATCCACTAACAGCAAAAACGTCCTGGGTAACAGTTTCCTATTCAAAATATTACACAAGTTTGAACGTGCCGAAAACAACTTCGCACCTTGTCTTTGACAACTGAAAAAAGAAATTTATAACTGCTCTACGTTCTGGAAACATGTTTTGTATTAAATTTCAGGTATTGTTGAAAGTTTTTAGCTTTTTTCCTTGTTAAAATACAGCAATTTTTACATGCAATTTTTGGGGGTGGGTCAGCCAATTTTGACATGCTTCAAAGGGGTGGGTCTTTTTATAGTTTTGGTATAAATGTAGGGGGTCATAAAAATAATCAGTGAAAAAATCACCAATATAATTTTATAGAATTTGGAAATATTTGGATCAAGAATGGTCTAGAATCTATCAACTATCCTGTCATCTATTACAACGAAGCAAAATTAATTTGACGCTCTGTTCACACAATCCATAGGAAAACATTTCCATGACGTTCGTCAATTGACCTCGTTTTTATCCGTTTTTGCGTGAAAACATGAATTAAAGAAAACACAGGACCATAGCATGATTTCAAAATTATGCAGACCTTCATCCATTTTAAGCTTTATTAATTTTCAGCGGCTACATTATCCATGACAAACTGCAAGGAATAAAGATAGTAGCCACAGTTTCCTGCAACTTATCCAATATATAGTTAATTAAATACACCTTTGCCCATTTAGTACTACCAAATTGTCAATTTCGACATTCTAAAACGCTGTTTTCTGACCATCAGAATTCTGTCAAATCTTCTCCAAAGTCCAGGAAATGGCATTTCAGAGACTCTAGATTTAAAAATTTCCTCGGTCCTTCGGTCCTCCCTTTCAGCCCCTCCCTAGGGCCCTGAAACGCTACGGAAATGACACCGTGTGGATTATTAATAGTTAGGATGAGGGGTCAAAAAATTTTTCAGTAAAAAAATAGGTGGTCATAATTTTTTATCAACTTTTCTCCTGGGGGTTCCAAGTTTTAGCATGGAATTAGACATCAGTTCCTCTGGCCCACCCCAGGTAAAATGATGCTCCCTTGGTGGTCGAAAACAGACATCTTTTAGGCGGCGTATTTTCCACTCCACAGGGTTTTTTCCTGGATTTTCTCTTGGGTCCATTTTTGCAGAGAAGATTGAGTTTAGCTGAACAGCTGGGGGTCTGGGGCAGCTGTGGGAGGCTGACTCCTGTACCCAATAAGTGTAGTTGAGACGGAATGTGTTAAAGCAGACACTATAAACTGGTTAAAGATGGCGAATGCGTTGAATTTTCTTGTGTTGTGAAATGAATTCCAGCCATTTTTTCCTGATTTTCGGGTTTCCAACTGAAACTAAGTTCCACACGTCACAAATTTAACTCAAACAACTTCATTTTTACTGCACTGAATCTTTTGGTGAGAAGATTGAGTTTCAAAACTCAATTCAAGATTGAGTTTTTGGGGCTGTTTTACAGTCCTAAAAAATCCCTGAAAAAACCCCTGCTCCATACCTACACGGCGGCCATCATGCATGGCTTCAAAGATGGCGGCCAAGTTATCATTCCAGTTCTCTTAGAGTTCTCTGTGACCACCCACTCAACATCATTGGTGACCGGCGAATGCTTTCGTTTGCCCGGGTGTAAATAGGCGGGGGGAATTGGTACCCTCGCCCCGGGCTTATGCCTATGCATTTAACCACTGCAAAAATTTTTTTTCAAGACTATTTGCACTTTGCTGTTTGCTTGCACGATTTTTTTTCTCTGATGTAATGGCTGCACAATTTTTTTTCCAGGCATTTTTCTTTGCACAAATTTTTTGCGATTCGGTATTTCTAATGGCCCGCCCCTTATTGACCGAGCGTGAGGTCTGTACTGTGAAATATCTGACCGAGGTTTTTTAGTATGAACCGAGCGACTAATTTGCATTGAGACTAGTCTTCAGACATCAGCTTTTTACTTAATGGTCATTTTCTGTTGAATAAGATGAACAAGAACTTTGAATTATCATGTCTGTTTACCAACTGAGTAATGTAACTTATCGTTATATGGATATCCTTTGCAAATGTTGTTTTGCTATGTAGAAAAGTATATTATACGCTATACACGCGATGTGTCTTATGAAATGTTTGAATCTGAGTGTTTCATTTTATTCAAACTTGGTTTATTCTTTATTGTCGAAATATTCGGCTGCTTCATTCTAACACAGATATACTCCGTTATAAGGGACTGGTCATAATTTATCAGAGGGGGTGGGGAGGTGTAATTCAAAATTTTAAGGAATGATATTTTGTCACCCTGCTTTACCATAACCAGGAAAAATAATACCCCCCCCTGTCTCTTGCTCGTGTCAGTAAAAATGTACCTACGTACTACTAAGCCCTGCATTCAATAAATTTTCTAATTGCACTTTAAATTTTCTAATTTTCTAGTTGCGTTTTAAATTAAATACTAAAATTTATATTATACCAATACATAGTCATATATAAAACTTTAGTTTTATCAAACTTTTCATTCTAAGTTTAAAGAATAATTTTTTTTCAATGCAACTCAAACAAAATGTGAGAAGGCATGTATAAAACAATTAATTGAACTAAAACAGCAGACCCCCTCCCCGCCTTCATAAACTGTCTAATATTTTATGAACCCCCTTTTTCCTTGCTACAAAATATGTGACCCCCCCTCACTGCTCCACCTCCCCACCCCTCCTGCTAAATTATGACCAGTCCCTAACCAGGACATACATAACCATTTCCTATGGAGCATAGCATAGCTACAAGTAGCTACAGGCAATTATTGTGGCTTTTTTCTGAAGAAATAAACGATTTGCATGGGTTCACAATCCGCATCTGCAATCCACTGCCCGTAAAGTCTACCATGCCTTCAAATTGGCATTACGCTTATACGAAACAAGAATGGAACTCTCCGGCAGAATTTTAGCCTGTTCATCACTATCTAAAACAGAGCGATGTTTACGAAAATTTTTTCGAATATCAGGAGCACTAGGATTAAATTTAGTAACAAAAACACAGGAATTTCGACGAACTTTACATCTACTAGTACGCGCTTCCTCACGACTGAGTCATAGCACCAACCAACTCAAAGGCTCCATTAACATGTGCCCTGTCATGGCCGCAATCCGTAAGATATTTCATATAAATCCTACTTTTCTCCCAAAAATCAGCGTCCCTAGAACATATGCGATGCAATCTCAATGCCACTCCTTTAGCAATACCGAAAATCTGAGATTTGGGGTGCGACGAATTGGCATTAAGATACAAGTGTGCATCCGTGGGCTTACTATAAACTGTAGTTTCCATACGATTATTAACAAGAAAATGCAAACTGCACCCACCCACATTCATAGTGAACTGTATAGATGCGGGTCAAATGTGTTAAGATCCTGAAAAAAAACGCTTGAAGCCGTTCCATGGTACCCCGCCACAACACAATAGTATCATCTCGAAATCTAAACCAACATCTCAGTTCAGGATAAATAGAACGAGATTCTAGAACGTTTTTATCTCTCTTCTGCGACAATATCGGCATATGAGCAGGAATTCTTAGGTCCCATAGCAGTACCATTTTCCTGTAGTCAATATTGCCCTCGATACATGGAAACTGTTTTTCTTCAAGCAGATTTCCAAAGCTTCAATAACACACTCTATAGACACATCAAAAGCCCCAGCATATTGCGAAAGTTTACAACGTACTCGCTCTATTCCCGTCTGATTGTCTATAGACAGGAACATATTAATGATATATCAAAACTAAGAGATCCTCATCCGATAGCCCCGTTAAATTGAGCTCATCCACAATATCTAGCATATGTGTGGTATCTCGGACACTACAAGAAATAGAATCTAAAGCTATTTTACAATATTTTTCAACGAACAAAGATAAATTCTCTGTGGGCGTACCACATTCCGAGGTAATGACCCATGCGGGATTGTCAGCTTTGTGAGTTTTAATCAAAGGGTATGTGTGTTAATTGTGTTTGTAATAAACTTAATCCACTTAGCAGATAATTCCATAGGTTTCCATTTGTTTATCAATTGTTCAAACTCTAAACCAGTCTCAGGCGAACGATGGATCGTTTTTAAAACAACCACACTCCATCTGTTCTTTAACCTTATCAGCATCAAGTTTATTGTCCAGAAATACAAAGTTGTTACTCTTGTCTTGTAATCTCACTATAAGATCTCGTTCTTCAAAAGGGGTGGAACGAAACTTTTTTTAGGGCTGTCAGTTCTTCCACTGAGAGATTATCGCTTACCTCTTTTGCTGTTGATTTAGCAAACAAGTCCTTTTCCACTCTTGACAAAAATACCTCAATAGCTGGAACATTGGCCAAGGGTGGTTCCTTTACAGATTTCTGATACCGGTGGCTGGAGTGGGTCAAATTCAGGACCATCAAGTGCTTTCTCTGGTGTATAAAACCATGTACGCCATCTTACTTTTTTCTTAAAATCAATCCAACTTAATTGCAGTCCATTCCAGTCATTGCTAGTGGGTGTAGGCACAAAGGAAGGACCACGACTGCACAATTGAACTAAAGATTGTTCTATATTCTTATCTGTAAGGTTGACTGGCTGGTATCCATGCGGTCTATTTATTGGATTTGAAGTTAAGGTTTAGCTATTCGTTGTTGGCCTTGCAGTTCTCAACCCATCTCGTGAATACTTTCTCAGACGTGACATTTCAAACGTATGTTTCAATTTAGAAGTCCGCTCTTCCAGCTTCTACATAATGTGATCGGCCTTTTCAGGATAAAGTCTCTTAATAGCTTGCGTAAGTTCCCATTCTTCCTTACTGAACGAGGGGATTTTATGTTTGTAATATGCTTCAAATAAACCCATGAGTTTGACTGAGTATTTCCTCAATGTAGAGTTGACTCGCGATGTAATAACCGAGTCAACAACACCAGAATGAAATTTCAACAGGAAACTTTTCGGAATACATTTACATGTTCGATAACACCCAAGTAACGTAACGTGATGCTGAAATCGAACTTCTTTGGCTTTTTGACTTTTGGCAATTCCTTTCGTGCAGCGGCCACTGGAAGGATATTTCTTATTTCAAAATCTATGACGTGCACTTCTAGTAATGTGGTGTATCTTGCTGAGTTTGTGGTTTGCAAGGTGTTGGCTCCACTGCCAATTTTAAGTCCAGACTAGCTAACTACAAATCACATAAACATAAGCGCCAGACATGCAGTATAACTAATCATTTTATTGATGTGCATGAGGCGGATCATTTTTGGCTAGGAATGTTGTTGACCAACCGGAAAGGTCTTAATGGTAGTTATGATTTCGCCCAACAATAGTAATTTATTTATATTTACCATATATATAATTATGTTTTGTAGTTAAGCTAGGCACTCTGTTGAAGGCTGTGGCATGCGGCCGAAAATTTAGTTTTTGTATTTAATATATTTTTTTAATAAACTTCTTCAAACGTAGCCATTTGTTACATATGAAGTCTTGTCGGCTGAGCAGAGTACTGGCATTTGTTATATATATATATATATATATAAATATTTCCCACGAAATATGGGTTTTTATGTCACACCTGAACTAATTAGATAAGTGAGTAACAATTTAATTATATTTAATGTTAATCCCTGGCACGCCTGTTGAAGAGGGAGGAAATTTAGAGCACTTGAAATTACGTAACAGCTGGGCCAAGATCAAGGTCGATCTCTTGGTATTAAACCAAGATCAAGGTCGATCTCTTGGTATTAAACCTTTGCAAGTCTCCAATATCAGTGGTCAAGTGAAGAACTCAGAATTTATCTTCAACGTCATTTTGGTCCTATTTTCAGGTTAGCGATACATTTCTTTTTTACACAATCATTCTTTCACCTATTCTCTTCTATTATGGCTTCATCCAACCCAAAGGTACTGGTATTTGGTCATTCCTTTGTGAAGCGCATGCATCGGGATTTAAGAACCAAATTCGATGTTTGCGCTGCCCTAAATTTTAACATGCACAATGTAGCTATCAAACTGCATGGTGTTGCGGGGAGGACTGTTGACAAATTAGTTCAATTTGATTTCAACAGGGTTACCCAGTTTCTGCCCAACATTGTTATTTTAGAGGTTGGGACAAATGATTTAACCTTGGGAAAACCCGAAACTGTGGGATCGAGAATTGACGATCTAGTGCGCATGTTGCTCGGGGTTCCATCCATCAGAGTTGTTGATGTGTGTTTGGTAACCAATCGGGCCTCTTCTCCAAAATTTAATGAGAAGGTTGCGATCTTGAACCAGTAACTTACGGTTGTGTTAGAAGATAAGCACAATGTCTTCTGTTGGAGACATATAAAGGCTTTATTCAGCCAACCATTTTGCCTTTTCTGCCTGATGGCGTCCATTACACCCGCAGAGCTCAATATACTTTGTATAGAAGTTATCGGGGCGCCATCCTCAAGGCCATTCAGTTTCGTTCACGCTGTGCTTAGCACACAGGTGGTCGCATTTTTATTTGATTTTCTTATTCGCATTTATATACCAGTACTTGTTTATGTTAAAATACAACTATCTCACCCTTCGTGGTGAGTCGAGGCTTCGCCCTCAATATTTGTTGTTATACAGATCGCACTTCGCTGCGATCCCTGTTGAGGCTTCGCCCTCAAAAAAAAAAAAAATTTTAAAACCTCTCGCTTCGTCGAGATTTTGTCAGAGGCTTCGCCGTTGTTTAATTATTTCAAAACCTCTTCCTTCGTCGAGATTTTGTTAGAGGCTTCGCCCTCATTTAATGAAAATGTTTTCATGCACTGTGTTGAGGCGCCCTCAACACTACAGCACGGCGGTGTTACAATTAATAGTATTCATAATTATATATACTAATTATATTAATGACATTCATATTTTGGACAAGAAAGCGTGGACTTTTGCCCTCTCGAAGCAAAGTGCAACCGAGGGTGCGACAACAGCTTTGCTAAGACTTCTTTGAACAAGTTAATAGTTAACGTTTAATTATTTATATCGTATGTACCTTGACATTTGGTGAGTTGATATCTTCTATTACATTTATTTTGTATTCTTTGTAAGTTAAACGGATTTAATCATGAGTATTGTTGTAAAACCTTATATATTTGTTTTCGCTAGAATTAAACTTTAGTGGTCATGCAGTATATAGTAACATTGATGTCAAGGAATTGTCACAAATAGTCTCCAAGACAAAGAGTACAGGCCGTGCCCGTACATGGTTTAATTCAAATGAATTTATCGATCGAAAGAATTCAAGAATCAAGCTGAGAGGAATCGAACTCACAAGAACCGTGTCCTTGGTGTACGTTTGATTTACCTACAAGTAAGCTCGCTGGCATATCAGGTATGAGAGATTACAGATTTATTGGTGCCTTAGTAAATTTGAACTGTCTGTGAGTGTACGACATTTTTGAAATTAAACTATCAAACTTGAACGCTCGTTAGCGAATTATGAATTCTGATGATATAAATTTTCAAGAACCACCGTCGGAACATGGTCTACAATTTAACGATGCTATACTAAATGAAAGAATCTTTTCATCCAAAAGATCGAGAGCCGGGTTTCTCGGAGCCATTACTCGTGTCCGAGGACAAATTGAAATCCTTTTGTCAAACGTAGAGAACGCACAGACGGTTCAAATACAATTGCAGCGATATGATGATGCATGGCGTAAATTTGAAGACGCACACAACGGTTATCTATCATTGATTAGTCCGCATAGTTTAGTGTTTTCCGATGCCGTTCAGCAGTATAACCAATTGTATACAGAGAAGGCTATATTTTCAAATCGTGTATCAAACTACCTACAAAACTGTGAAGAGAACCCTACAAACTATGTCTCCCCAAATGTAACGCTAAGTACAATACAGAAAGAGCATGTGTATGCAGAAAGTGTAACTTCAAATAGATCAAGTATATCAAAGACATCGAGTCAATCCTCACGATCATCAGCACAAGAAAAAAGGGTGCAAGCAGCTAAAGCAAAGTTGACTTTACGTTTGGCTGAAAATGAACGAAATCGAGTTCTCGAAGGGGAATTTAGGCTTCAGGACATAGAAAGAAAGCAAAGAGAATTAGAAATGCAACAGAAATTGGAGGAAGAAGAACTTAAAAGGACGAGAAGAATAGAAACCTTAAAACAAGAAACCAATAGAGAGCTCGCTGAAGCTCGCCAACAAGCTGCTCTCGCGAATTTGGAAGCAGAGCTGCAGGAGCAATTCGACAGCTATGTAGAAGTCGACATGGAGCTGGAGTCAGAAATCGGGGGACGAATCTCTTCTGAACCTGCAGAAGTAATTTCACATACCCATTTACACAAAGTCCAGAATCCAGACAAGGTTACGACGGGCATGGCAGCGAGATATTTCTCCAGAACTGATAAGACGTATCCATCGGTATTTAATAGCGATCCACAACATGAAGGCAACCCATTTTCCTCAACGCCAGCAACAGTTAACGAACCGACTCAACCAGATGTAATACGGCCGGAGCCTTGGAGAACACTTGCCCCGGAATACGCATGGGGGGCTCAAGTTCCTTCCTACCCTAATGTACCAAGTCGGGGTGGGCCTCAGAGAATTCCGCCAAACCCACCATACGTATGGAAGACTCGAATTCCCAAAGATTTGAGAATCGTATCATGTCTAGACACAATTTCAGTGACGGTGAAAAAATGTTGCGTTTATTACAGTTCCTTGGTGGTGAAGCCAAGGAAGCAGTGAAAAGTTTCGAATCAGTCAAAGGCGGTGTGTATGAGGCAATGAAGATTTTGGAAAAGAGATATGGAAAAAGGTGTTTGATCGTTAACTCGATACTAGACGGTTTGACAAAGGGCCCAGCTATACCAAGTAGGGACAGAACCACCTTACGAAAGTTCGCAGACGAAGCTGCTAGCACCAATGCAACTCTAAAATCATTGTGCTGCTTGAATAAAGTTAACCAAGGAAATCTGGTGGAAATGTTACGTCGACTGCCAAAATATCTTCGGGAAAGATTTGCAGTTGTAGCTTGCGATCTAGAAGCGAAAGAAGACCGGTTTCCTACATTGAACGACTTTGCAAGCTTTCTCGACAAGTGGGCGAACGTTGCCAATCACCCGATAAACGCAAGCAATACCGATCAACAAGAAGGACCAGGACTAGCCAAGGGAAAGATGAAATATGGTGCAAAGATGGCGTGGGCTATGGGCGTCCAAGGAGACGACAGCAGAAATATTTACAAGTCAGCCAAAGTCACTACTCCCTGTCCTTGTTGTTCTCAAGCTCATCCAATATATCGTTGTGAACTGTTCAAAGGTAAAACCCCTGGTGAAAGGTTCGAGTTTACCTAAAAGGAAAAACCTCTGCTACAATTGTCTAAAGAGCAACCAGATCAAGCAACTTGGTAGAACAGTGAAACATACTGCCAGGTCTTGCCCTAGCAAATTTAAATGCAAAATCGAAGGGTGTGAAGCATCGCACCACACTTTGTTACATAAACCAGAACCTTTAAAGGAGACGAATGAAGAGAAGGACAAGAACATCGAGCTCCCAACTGTTACAAGCAGCATAGCCACGTCGAAAGCACATCATGCTGTACTTCTGAGAGTAATTCCTGTGCGCGTTATTGGAGAATGACAAGTTGCGACCACATACGCAATGTTGGACTCGGGCTCGGAAATCACTCTAGTAGACCTGTCATTGGTTAAACAAGTAGGAGCACAAGGACATCTCGATAAACTAGTGGTGTCAACCGTGAGTAACGAGAATGATGTACAGCACGGCTATCGCATAAATCGATCAGTGGAATCTCTTATCAATGAAAACCCGAAGCGTTTGAAACTAACTAATGCTTGGAGCAGTAAAGAATTAAAGATACCATTGCGTCATCAGTGTGTTTTCCAGGACAAGTCACGTTGGCCTCATCTCCAGAATGTACCCTTCCCTAATGTCGAGAGAGAGAAGATTTCCATTATCATTGGGACGGACATGCCTGAAGCATTTATCCCGATCGATGTATGCTACGACGGGCCAGACTCTCCAGTGGCCATACGATCCTGCCTGGGTTACTCAGTCTTTGGTCGAATGGGTAAAGAAATTGAAGCTCAGTGTTCCACAACGTATACATCCACGATTCATAACGTATGTGTCTCCAGCGATATCACCCTTAACCAGCAATTGGAGTCATTTTGGAAACTGGAGTCCCTCAGAACCTCCGGTGATAATTCGAAGACCATGTCAGTCCAAGATAAACAAGCATTGAAAGTGATAGAGAAGACTCTGACCAAAGTTGACAGTCACTATCAAATGGACCTACTATGGAAGAATGAAGATATACACCTCCTGAACAATCGGACAGTAGCAGAAATACGATTAAAACATCCGAAACAGCGACTTGAACGAGATCCTAAGTTGAAAACGAAATATCTCGCTATCATAGATGATTACGTCGTAAAGGGTTATGCTCGAAAGCTCACAAAGAACGAAGCAATAACTAAAAGCGATAAAACCTGGTATCTTCCTCATCACCCGGTGATAAACCCTCGTAAACCAGAGAAAGTGCGTGTTGTCTTCAACACCGCTTCGATGTTCAATGACACATCACTTAATGACCAACTTCTTCAAGGTCCTGACGTGATGAACAATCTGGTGGGTGTCCTAAAATTAATCAATATGCTCGCAGAAGGTGGCTTTCGCTTAACTGAATTTCTCAGCAATCGTAAGGATGTCTTGAAAGCAATTCCAGTCAAAGAAAGAGCTACTCCTACCCTTGATCTGGATTTAGATCAGCTACCCATTAATCGTACCTTGGGTTTATCCTGGGACGCTCAAACCGATGAGTTCTATTTTTCGTCCATTAGAACTGACAAACCCGCTACCAAACGCGGCATTCTCTCTGTTATTAGCTCATTATTCGACCCGCTGGGGTTCCTGAGGCCATTCATTTTACCTGTCAAAATACTTCTGCAGGAACTCTGGCGTCAAGGAATTGGATGGGATGAAGAGATTTGAAAATTGGCAAAATTGGCTTCAATCACTTTTTCAGCTTTCTGACATCAGAATTCCCCGGTGCTACGTTGTAACCAAGATCTCGCATGAAAGTATTGAACTTCACATGTTCAGCGATGCCAGTGAAGTGGCATATTCTGCGTCAGCCTACGTTCGGATCACAGATGATCAAGGTGTGATTCACTGCAGTTTCGTAATGGGAAAATGTCGAAATTCTCCAATAAGAAGGCCAACTATTCCGAGATTAGAGCTTTTGGTGAGTGTCATGGCGGTGCGTCTGAGCAACCTTATCTGTTCAGAATTCGACTGGAAGTTCGACAATATTATATTCTGGACAGATTCTACCACCGTGCTGCAGTACATATATAACGAGAGTCGAAGATTTCCTCGTTTCGTAGCGACACGCCTTCAAGAGATTCATGAACACACTAAGTCCGATCAGTGGCGTTTCGTTCCTGGAAAGCTCAATCCAGCAGATGACGGATCAAGGGGCTTACCAATAGATGTGTTCAAAGCGAAGTGTCGTTGGTTGTCAGGCCCAGATTTTCTGCACCAAAGCGTTGATCAATGGCCATGCACAACGATTAACAAAGTTCTAGAAGACGGTGAAGGAGGTTTAACAAAGCAATCTTGGCATTGTCGACTGAGAAAGGAGTAAAGTCCAGCAGCAGATTAGTGAATCTTTGCCCGGTATTGAAAAACGGTGTCCTGTGTGTTGGCGGCCGACTGCGACACGCCCCAATAACATCCGAAGCCATCAATCCAATGATTGTTCCCAACGAGCATCACATCGCTGCATTGATCATTTCTTATTTTCATCACGTCCTAGGTCAGGCTGGTCGGGAGCATGTACTGTCAGCTGTTCGGCAGAGGTATTGGATACTAAATGCACGTGCGCTAACTCGTCAAATTCTTCGCCAGTGTATAACCTGCCGTAAGAATAACGAATCACCAATGTCGCAGAAGATGGGCGATCTCCCTGGTGCCAGACTCACTCCATATGAACCACCATTTACTTTCACTGGTTTGGACATTTTTGGCCCGTTTACTGTGAAACGTGGACGTAGTTCGCAAAAGTTATACGGGTGTATGTTTTACCACGAGAGCAGTTCATATCGAAGATGTCGGTTCATTAGAAACTGATGCATTTATCTTGGCACTGAGGCGTTTCATAAGCGTTCGTGGAGCAGCTAAGGAAATATGGAGCGATAACGGAACAAATTTTACTGGTGGAGAAAGGGAGCTAGGCTTACTCATGCGAGAATGGGATCAAAGAGCAATTGTCAAGGCAGCACAGGAGAAAGGAGTAGAATGGTACTTCCAACCCTTTAAGAAATGGCATTTTCAACCACCAACCGCAAGTCATATGTCTGGTGTGTGGGAACGACTAATTCGAAGTGTGCGCAAAGTCATGAAGGCTATCCTCGGACATCCACATGCCTTTGTGGATCGTGAGACGTTGCGGACACTTTTCGCTGAAGTTGTTGGTATCCTTAACACCCGTTCGTTGTGTCCAAGCAGTGATGATCCAAAAGATATGGAACCGCTAACGCCAAGCCATTTCCTCCAGCAACGTCAAGGATTGGCTATTCCTCCTGGAGTGTTCGAAGATTCAGAGATGTTCTCACGTAAGAAATGGAAGAGAGCGCAGGTGCTAGCAAATCAATTTTGGGCTCGCTGGGTTCGAGAGTGTCTTCCCATTCTTCAAGTAAGGAAAAAGTGGCTTGTGGCGAAATGAAATCTTCAAGTGAATGATCTCGTGTTGGTCGTTGACTCAACCCAGCCAAGAAGTCATTGGAATCTAGGACATGTGACGAAGGTGTTTCCTGGCACGGACGGTTTAGTACGCACAGCCGAAGTAAAGACCCAGTCGTCGTTACTAGTGAGACCTATCGCAAAGCTTTGCTTGTTAGAAGAGACGAAACGAATTTATATTGAACGACTGTCTAACGGGGGTACTATGTTGAGGCGCCCTCAACACTACAGCACGGCGGTGTTACAATTAATAGTATTCATAATTATATATACTAATTATATTAATGACATTCATATTTTGGACAAGAAAGCGTGGACTTTTGCCCTCTTGAAGCAAAGTGCAACCGAGGGTGCGACAACAGCTTTGCTAAGACTTCTTTGAACAAGTTAATAGTTAACGTTTAATTATTTATATCGTATGTACCTTGACATTTGGTGAGTTGATATCTTCTATTACATTTATTTTGTATTCTTTGTAAGTTAAACGGATTTAATCATGAGTATTGTTGTAAAACCTTATATATTTGTTTTCGCTAGAATTAAACTTTAGTGGTCATGCAGTATATAGTAACATTGATGTCAAGGAATTGTCGCAAATAGTCTCCAAGACAAAGAGTACAGGCCGTGCCTGTACACACTGTAAGTCGAGGCTTCGCCCTCGTTTTTTCCATCTGGCGTTTTGGGCAAGTGGTGCGGTCACCGTTTTAGTGTGGCCAAGCTTGACCCAGTCAGTTAAAGGGGAAGTCAAGTCCATTGTGCGCATCGGTTCTGCGCATAACAATGTGAGGACCTCTAATGTGAAAATTGCCCAAATTTCGAATTTTTTCGAATGTTTCTGAACATAAACTTTATTTCATATTCATTTAGAAGCATAGCAAACCAAAATGGTGTTAGATATTCAGACAGTACATCATATTTTAAAAAATACAGCAGTTCAAAATGTAAACAAACCGTTTGTTTACATTACGGACTTGACTTCCCCTTTAAAATTATCCTATTTATCGATCACGTTCGCGTTCCTTACACGATCTGCGTTCAGAGGGGCAACTAACTTCTAATCCATTTTGCAGTAATTTCTTTTTCAGTTCATTATGCCACCTAAAGGTTATAAGAGTTCAACACGCAAGTCGTCGAAATCTCCGGCCAATCCATCGCCGTCACAGCGACCTTGTGTAAGCCAACCATTGCTTCTCCGTCCGCTGGTGCAACAACGAGCTCAACTGTACACAAACCCGTCAACGTCGCCAGTACCTCGGCAGCGCCTGATGCTAGTACCATCTCCCCGCAGCTTCTTCAGCAGATCGTGTCAACAGTTACTGCTGAAGTTACTCGGCGACTTACACCACACCATCAAGCGGCGTTTTCGGACGCTGTTTTTGAGGCCCCAGTTGTCGCGATGGGGAGCATCCACCTCGACCGAACAACCCGCCATTGTTTCTGGTATTGTGGAAGAAGCTTTACAGTCTGTCCATTCCGCCATTGCAGGTGAGCCTTCCTCTTATTCTGCGATGCCAAGTCAACCCTATGAATCGATCCATTTGCCTCTTGACTCCAGGATCACAACAAAATTAAAAAACAAAATTTGGAACGACGAATATATTGATTTTGGGTCTTTGTTGAGCAATCCCGGGGTGGTCGACACCAAATTTCAATTGAGTGTAAAGACCTCTAATGATGGTCTTCATCCCTCTCTTTCGTTTGAGCCTGTCCACAAACCACAAAAGGTCGCCCATATCACGACCTGGATGAGCGCTTTCCGAATTTTTGTCGGGGTGTATACACAAAAATATCCTCATGAGTCCCCCGCACTCATGAAGTACGGCGATATTGTGCAGGACCTAGCAGATCGAGGCCATAATTGGCATTTTTACGATGAAAATTTTCGTTTTCTGAGACAGAAAGAACGCAGCACGGTGCCTTGGGCCAATGTGCATTGGGAATTGTGGCTAAGATCGCAGTATCCTACCAATCGATCAGTCGGCCCTGGGCAACACGCTGTCACTAATACTACTACCAAATTGCCTTTTCTTAGTATTCGTCGCGGCCATTGTTTTCGATTTCACAAAGGCGAGGAATGTTCGGGCTGTGAGTTTAAGTACACTTGTTTTAAATGCGCTGGCTCACACCCAGCCATAAGATGTAATTTGTGTGGCCTACCAAAACGAGATCAGAACCGAAACGCTAGGTCCGATAAGCGCAATGCCGCTCCCAACCCCCATACAAATAAATCATCTTAATTCATTTTTACAGGGTTATAACCCTAACGATAGCAAAACACTTGTTTCAGGTTTTACGCATGGTTTTTCTTTACATTTTCACGGCTTCATTAACCAAACTGAAGGTAAAAATTTGACTTCAGCTTTAGCACACCAAAACGTTGTTACGCAAAAACTCTCTATCGCTGGACCTTTTCATGCCATGCCATTTCATCCGTTCCGAGTTTCTCCCTTGGGTCTTGTGCCTAAAAAGTCTCCTGGTGAATTTTGATTGATCCATCATTTATCTTTCCCACGAGGATCTTCGGTCAATGATGGCATTGGTTCTGAGGATACTAGTGTGCATTATGCCGCCGTGGCTGATGCAATATGTTTAATCAAATCCAATGGAAAGGGGTGTTTTCTTGCGAAAACAGACATTAAAAATGCGTTCCGTATTATTCCTATTCGACCAGAGGACCACTATTTACTGGGTATGAAATGGCAGGGCATGTATTATTATGATCGATGCCTTCCTATGGGGGCAGCCAGCTCGTGTAAAACATTTGAAATTTTTAGTACGGCTATACAGTGGATTGCTCAACAAAAACTTCTCATCGATTCTGTTTTACATTTACTTGATGATTTTCTCCTTATATCACCATCTTATGACACCTGTGTAGTTCGGTTCGGTTAAATTCTACAATAAAATAATTTACAACAACTTACCGTGCTTTAAAAGCTTTACCAAATATCCAGAATACGAATATCCAAATCTCTGTTAAAACAAAAATTGCATCATCAAGTCTTGTTCAAATCAAAGATAGTAAAATATCTATAATATCTATAAAATTCTACAAAATAATTTACAAGAACTTACCGTGCTTTAAAAGCTTCACCAAAATCCAGAATACGAATACAAATATCCAAATCTCTGTTAAAACAAAATTGCATCATCAGGTCATTGTTCTTTAATAATATCGTCTGGCCTTGTTTGTGTATTGGGACAACTTTAGTGTGTTTCAACTCATCTGGGAATACTCCGGAGACAATTGATCGATTAAAAATGTAGCTAAGAGATTCCGCTATTAAATCAGGGCAATTTTGTCCAGACCAGTAGCTTTTGACCTACTTAGCTTGGACAAAAGGACGAAAACTGCAGAGAAATTAGTTTCTTTTAATTGAAAACGGATGTTGTTATTTTGACTAGGTAAATAATCGAGATAACAACGATTATTCTGATTAACATCTACATTATCTGCAAGCTTCGGACCAATGTTAGAGAAGTGTTCATTAAAAGCATCAGCAATTTTGTTGGAATTGTTAATCAAATTACCATCCAAATCAACTTCGTGAATATGCGAGCTTTTTCGATTTTTAGATGTGAGATCATTAATAATATTCCAGGTCTTTTTCGAGTTGGATTTATTTTCAGAAAACGCATATTTAAAATAGTTTTCCTTCGCCCGGGCAATATTTTGATTTACGGAATTTCGCATTTTCTTAAAAATATGCCAATCTAAAGGATCATTAGACCGGATTGCCTTGATTTTAAGAATATCTCTTTTGTGCATTTCACCTTTCAAGTGAGATGAAATCCAAGGCGCTTTAGAGGCCTTGACACGCTTTGTGCGTAAAGGAGCATGCTTTTCTACAACAAAATTAAATGTGTTTTTCCAAGTATGCCCCATATCATTAGGATTCTTAAATTGATGGATAAAGTCCCAGTTTTGCTGACTAATATCATTACGAAATTTGGCAGAATCAAAGTTTTTAAACTTTCTATAGCTTACTGTAGTATGTCCTCTTGTTGGCATTCTGGCGGAAAGTTTTCTAAAGGCATAAACAAGACTATGATCACTTATACTAATGTGAGAAACACCAGAGCAGACCACTCTATCAGGAGCGTTTGTAAAAATGTGATCTATCAATGTTGACGATGAACTTGTAATTCTAGTTTGTTCAGTTATCAGTTGTTGAAGATCAAATGTTTCAGCAATATCAATGAGCAACCTTGAACTATGATCCAAGACTGTAGAGCTTAAATCGCAATTCAGGTCACCCACCAGATAGTACTCAATATTTTCAGCATCAAGTTTGCCTAGTAGCGTTTCTAGGTGATTAAACTTATCCACGACCGAATTTGGTGGCCTATACCATGTCACTATAAGAAAAGGCTTAGATCTAGGTTTATTGATTGAAATGCATAAATTTTCCAATTCATCAAATTTCAAATCGTATCGTACCGAGAAATTTATGCAACTTCGTATATAAAAACAAACACCACCACCGCATCTACCGTTTAAGTATCTATCGCGGCGAACAATTTCATAACCTTGTATGTGCACCTCATTATCGCTAACCGCAGAATCAAGCCTTGTCTCATTGATAGCCAAAACATCAATAATATTATCGGTTAGAAAAATTCGAAGTTCCTCAATGTGTTTTACTAAACTAGTTATATTAAGTGACGCAATTTTGAAACCACTCATCTTAGGTAAAAGCGGATTTATGTCGCTATTAGTATTCGCATTATCAAGAGACTCAGCAACATTATACGTAACAAGGCATTCATTAAGATTGTTAGTAAATTCAATAAAATTGTTTGGTAGAGTTTCGCTGCCTTGTTTATTTAAATGTAGACCTTTATTGTTCAAGTGAGAATTGTTCACATTAGCATTTCTTAAGAATGGTATCTTATTCATACGACAATAATTATCTAGGATAAAGTTAACTTGTTTAACTTTAGTGGCTAGGTTTGCATTATCATTTTTGGTCAACAAAGCTGATACACCTACCACAGTAGTTGGCGAGTCTTCCTTTATCTGGGTCGTCAGATTCAGTAATGAATCGGCAATTACTTTTGCAGGAGAATTCTTTAAGTCGTTCGTTCCAACATGTAAGATGATTTTTCGGGTGATTTTCGGGTGATAGGTTTAATGAAATCTTCCATATCAGAAAGATTTGCACCAGGGAATGCTTTAACGACGTAATAGTGATTAGGGTCAGTCTTGCTCATGCTTGCTCCGACAACATTCTTAATTAGTGAATCACCAGCAATTACCACCACTTCTTTTGCTCTATTCTTGCTCGTGGTAGCTGCAACATCGTCATTCACATTTTCCATACCGCTAGTGGGGGCAGCATGTGCT